TGTCTGTCGATCTCAGTACATTAGATACCTGAAGAGTATATGTGTGTTTGCAAGTGAGGTAAGGAGGAATGAGGGATGGAGAGAGCGAGGAAGGCAGGGAAGAGCAGGTAGAGGAGGAGGAAGGAGAATTTCCATACAATTGTCTGTTAATAGTAAGACAAGATTACTGTAGGTCCCCACTGAATTGACATAATAATTCTATGTAGGCCAAAGGACAGAGTCAGGGGGAATAAAATGAACTCAACTTAGTAGGTACAAAGCAGTCCAGTGGCTCGACAAGAGAAAACAGATTATCGGAGTGGAAGGTGAGGAAGAGAGAAGTTCAGAAAGACTAAGAACTATGCTTCCTTTTAACTAATGAACCAATTAGATGCTCTATAAAGAAGACAGGGTGAAAAACTGGGGGTATTTGCATTCTGCAGGTTCTGCATTTATGGGCATAATGAGCTCACAATGACCCATTGGGGGACAATAGAAGCTGGAGAACCATGTTACCTGGGCTTCATTCAGGAGAGTGACTCTTGAGGGGACAATACAGTGAGACGTGGTTTTCTGATGAGTTAACCCTGGGAAGGTAGACTGCGCTTGACCAGCTGATGCTGGAGACCAGTCTTAACATGAGACTTCAAAGCTCCAGCTCCGAGTTTTTGTCCTGCCTTGGCAATTACCCAGAGAGGTTGTTACCCATGACCCTGCCACTGAACTCGTACTGCCAGGCGACTCTCAAAATGAAGGTCATAGTCATTCTCATTTACTTGCCCAGCAGTCTAGTCTTTTTAAAAAGTAACAATGGAAAACAGTCTGAGTGGGCTGTAGGAAAAGCTTCCTCCTCTCTCATTTTAAAGGACTACGTAGAAGCTTCTCTCTTTAAAGTGAAAATTACAGAGTTATTCTCTGAAGAGCTGATGCCTTGAAGACCTCAGGAGGTATGGACGATACCTTAACCATTGAAAATCTCAGAAATTCCTTCTATTCAGAGAAAGCATAAATTCGGGTTACCTTATCCTTACTATGGAAGCTCAGGCAGTCCACGGGGCAAAGCACTGCTAACCCAAAGAGTGGGTCCCTCAAATGGTTTGAATCTAATCAGCAGCTTTGCAGGGAAAGGATGGGACATCTCCTGTGTGATTACAGCCTCAGAGACTCCATGGAAGGTCAGCTATGAGTCCATTCTCATTTAATGGTAGTGAGTTTGAGTATTATCCTCACTACAGGGAGATCTGGTGGTGCAGTCGGCAGCAAGTTTAACTCAAAGTTAACTCAAAGGCTGTGCCTCTCCGGTGGTTCAAACCCACCACTAGCTCTTCAGGAGAGAGACAAGTGAGCTCCTCTTGTGTGTGCCTCAGACACCTAATGGACGACTGCTATGAGTTGGTTCCAACTCCACAGAAAGTTTTATCCTCACCAGGAAGAAACCCTGTTGGGGCAGTGGATTACATGTTGGATTGCAAATGGTAAGCTTGGTGGTTTGAATCTGCCCCACCACCCCCTTCAAGGGAAAAGAGGAATCAGTATGCTTCTGTAAATGTTTAAAACCTTGGGAATATGATGAATAGATATACCATGAATAGATCTGACCAGAAAGCAGTGTTTATTTTCTTTTTGTTTGGTTTGCACTTACTAGGGATCCCTGGTTGGTGCTAATTTTCAATGCATTCAGGTGCGAAAGTTTGAGTATCTCCAGAAGAAACACCTGCAATGCATGTCCAAAAAAAAAAAAATTGAGCCATGGAAATCCCTCCATAGCAAGTTCTATTCTGACACAGAGGGCTCACCAGGAGTTGGAGTGAACTCATGGGCAACAGTGTTTCAGGTGGCAGGGTTACCTCTATTAAATAAAGAAGAATTATGTATGACTTATACCTAATAAGTCTGCTTTACAAATGGACATGTGCCCTGCCTTCACTGAGCTCCTGGATAGGAAGAGTGGGAGAGAAATCTCACTCTAACAGAGAGACAGATCTCAGGCAGCCGCACCTCATGTTTGCCTGGTTATTGCTGCAGAAAAGAAAAAAAAAGGTGAGGAAAAGGCTTTATTTTTTTTCCCTTCTCCCAGCACCTGCTACTTCTTAAAAGCACTATGAAATAAAAGACATCTGTGTCTAGAAGCATGCCCCAGGGTGCATCTGAGAATATATTTGTTTGCTTTTCTAAACCACTGACACTGCAAGTTGGAATCAAGGGCTGAAGAGAGGCTGCACTTGGTGCCCAATGTACAGAGACACGAAAAGCTCAATGAGCTAGAACGCCTCCCCTGGAGACGGACCAGCTAGCCTGGAAACAGGCCCAAACCCTCCTGTTTCCTCACAGCCCTCTTCTGAGTCTTCCTGGGGGGCAAATCAGCAAAGCAAGCAGCTTGATAAATGAGGGGGAGCCCTAAAACTTTTGGAGGACTTTTTCAATGCAGAGTCAGAGGGCCCCCTGAGCTGGGCCTCCACGAGGTCAAGCCTTGAAAAAGAAACGCCAGGATAACAACGCCAAACAGCTGTCTAATGGACAGATTTTACAGTTTAATACGGGTCATTGATGACATGTAGATTCAGCTGCATGAATAAATCAAGAAACAAAATCAAACTCTACTTCACCTTTTCTGCTTGTATTTTAACCCTTTTCTGAGAGCTATATGGTGGAAAGTAATATGTTAAATTGTTCAAGTTTGCAGCAATCTGCAGGGAATGGCCCTACATTTTAATGCTCCACCTTCCAGACCCCCACCTTGATGGTGCCTCCAACAGGAAAACCAAAACGGTCAATTGTGACATTAGTGACCCCCACAGGACAGAAAAGAAGTATCCCACGCGATTTCTAGGGCTGCCACATCTTTCTCCTGCAGAGTAGTTGGTGGATTTGAACCATGGACCTTTCAATTAGTAGTCAAATATTCAACCAGTATATCACCAGAGCTCCTTTCCTTTATGATGTAGTTCTTTCTGAAGTTACTGTTTACGGTGCTTTCTTTCCTCAATTCTCAAGTCAATTTGATTTTCTCATTTAATCTCTATAGGGTGTAAAAATGTTACTTAGGATCCCACTATGGAGAATTCTGCCCAACTGCTCTCTGATGAGGATAGGGATGAGATTGTAAAAAAAAAAAAAAGTTGGCAACCTATTTTCTGTGATTCAGTGCCCACTCTGTTGGTTAGAGAACTAGGTTAACAGTATGTAGGATTTAAAAAAGAATCTACTCCCCACCTATACATTCTTTATCTTTGGTAAAGGCACTTCTTATAAGCCTGGGACACAGCAGGCACTCAACAAATGTTTATTCTTCCTCACTCTGGTAATTAGAACAAAAGTGTAATCTTCCACAGGAAAAAATTGGAAAGCCAAAAATAAACCTGTAATAACTGCATTGCCCATTGTGTTTCTAATTATATTTCGTCTTAGCACAGGAATAAACCCTTTGCAAATATGTAAATACCACAGCATATTGGTGGTTACTGGAGTGGGAGGGGAGAAATCATTGCTTTAGAGGGTGTTGGGTGTCAGAGTGATGGAAGACTCAAGTTGAACAGCTGATTGTGAACATGGTGAGTGTAGCTACTGCCACTGAATTTGTATACGTGAAAACACTGAAATGGCAAATCATAGCCACATGCATCATAATTTAAATCAGAAGAAACTTTTTTAGTCTTAACATCTCAATAAGGACTAGGTCACTATCTGCTCATTTTACTGACTGTAGCCAACTTGTCTAGTACTGCTTCTGAAGTATATTTAGAAGTGTATATGTAGAATATGGACACAAACATAGAGTGTGTGTGTGTGTGTGTGTGTGTGTGTGTGTGTGTAATTGCTATTGAGCCAGTTCTGACTCACAGCTGACCCTCTATTGAGTTTCCAAGCTGTAGAACACATGCGAGGAGATTGCCCATCTTTCTCCTGTGGAAGGCCTGGCTGATTCAAACTGCCAGCAAAGTGCAGGTTTGGGGTTAGCAGTACCACTAAGTATTAGGGACGATGCCACCACACAGCTTTCTCTTTCCCTCTACCTCCAATGCCAAGGAATTGGGTCTGGCTTAATGCAACCCAATGTATTTCAGAACAACTATTCTCCAGAGGGTTTTATGGCCATGATGGCTAGGCTTTTCTTCCAAGGGGCTTCTGGGTAGGTGGGTGCTTCTGAACAGTCAATCTTTCCGTCATTAGTAAAGTGTTTAACTGTGCATCTAGAAACTGACTTTCTTTCTCTGTATATGACACATAGATTGCAAATCGTAGAATAGTTCAAACATATTAAGCCCTCAATAATTTTTCTTTCCTTTCATGATAAAAATACTAGTATCATGTACCAATCAGATTTACACAGAGATGGGACTTCACCTCTGTCCTCCTCAACTGCTCAAACACACAGAATCACTTTTCTTGAGAGAGGGAGATGACCGAGGAGGGATTGTGAGGGGCAGGGATGCTTTCTGTATCCTTTCCCCTACTCACTGAAAGAACAGATCCTGTGGAAGGCCACTTTGTGATTTGCATTATCACCCAGTGAGACTCTGAGAGATAGAGACCTCTTTTAGGGACACTATTCTCCACTGACTCAGTTAAAAAAACAAAACAAAACAAAACAAAACAAAACCCAACCCACAACTCCACTTTATTTCCCCCAAAGCTGCAAACAAAGGTTAACAAAGGCACTTGGCATTTGCACCCTCTCCATGAGATTCTAATTTACATTCTTATTCTTTCTGTTTTCCAGCCAGGGGATGTTGGGACTGCCTGACCTATTACAATGCAGTAGAGGACTAAGGCAATTAAAGTAGCTAATCTTGATTTTGCAACTACTTTTCTGCCAATGAGATGGGCATTTCAGACCAAGATTTTTGGAGGTGTGAATGACCCAGATTGTTGTAGAAATGCAATTCACTTTCTGTGTCTATGTGGGTCTGGAAACAGCCTTTGAGCAGGGTTAGCCTAGAACAGAGCTACCAGGCAGAGGAAAGCTCAGGTGGTTGACTTGTTTTATTTTTGTTAAGAAAGGTAAAAACATTGTCTCTTACTGTCGGTGGTGATTTCGTAGGGAGAGTTGAGGCGCGCGTCTCCACAGGGGGAAGTGCTCACGTAGAGATGGAACAGAATGTTTTCTTTCAGTCTGTAGCCGCCCTCTTTTAACCGTACAAATATTGATCGCTCTGAGTCCTCGCGCCGTTTGCTAGGGACCAAACCAGAAACATGCCGACTAAATGAATGTTTTTGTCTTGTTTTGTATAGTGGTTTGCCCACTTCTATTCCCCACGCCCCCACTTCTTCACAGTGCATGTTGTTTCCCCCTGGCAATATGACTTCCAGAACATTCAGCAGTGAAAGCACAATGAGTGAACCAAATCCTTAGCAGTTCTGCCACTGTCATCCTTCCTCAGTGTTGACACTGGGGTTTATCTTTTACCCAGATTTCTCTGATGATAGTAACCCGAATCTACATACGTATAAAACTATCACCCTGTGAATTCACAAAATGTTCCTCCTGGTGGCCAGATCTGACAGTGGGCTGTTAATTTTACACAGCATCAGAAGAGAACATGTTTATATATTAAAAGGAAGGAAGGAAGGGACTTCTAAAAAGGTGGCTGGAGTTGACAGCGGAATGACAAGGTAGAAATAGCACCGAGTGCGGAATCTAAATATATGAACCTTTGCTTTGCTTTTTGCAGCCAACCATGACTGAGAGTGCATGCTCAAAAAAAGCCAAGTCTCCTAATTTTTGATGGATAGACCCCTTTTGCCCTTGAAAAATCATCCCTGCAGCTGGTGTTAGATTCATATATGAGAGGTCTCTTTGTAAAGAGAGCTGGGGGAAGACACTTGCCTGTATTTCCTCTCTTCTAGATTTTATTCTCATTATTTACAGACACTTGACTTTTCTTCCCCTACTCTTTCTCAGTACTGTGTTGTATTGACACAGTTCTGCCCCAACGATGATAGATTCTGTTTTGCTGGGTCCTAAGATCACACAGCAGAGCAGAACTTTTCTCCCCAGGAAACCCTTGAAGCATCATTCCATGCCTTTCTGCATCTGTGCCTTTGCGCCCGCTACTGGGGTCTCCCTCCTTCACTTGGATTTTCAGAACATTCTCCCTGCAAAACACTTCCACAGCCACTTCCTTCACAGACTGAGAACCCCCATGCCAAGGTTCTTCTGTTCTCTTGTTGCCTGGTTCACCCCCTGCCCACAGTGAGGCTTGGATTGTGAGACAGCCTCTCAGAGGACTTTGAACTTGGGGTTCCCTTGGGCTCACACTGTCTGCTACTGCTGCTCGTCCTCCACTCACTGAAGGGCGAGGCCGGAGTTTCACTTGCCTTTGAATTTTGCACTAGCATATAGAGAACTCATGACCGAGGCTGGCTGAACTGCATTCTATAGTACATACAACTACAACAATTATTTTGAAATATCTCCACGTAAGCAAGCTGTTGGATGTTGTGTTATTGTTGTTAAGTGCCATTGAGTCATTGACAACTCATAGCGACCCTATGAATGAAAGACCTGAACACTTGTATAACTTATGTTTCTCTGAGTTCATAGGGTTTCCGGAGGCAAGCTATTTCGGAAGTAGATGCCACTCCTGCTTCCAAGCTTGTTTTTTTTTATTGGGGACCTCCACCAAACACTGTCGACTATGGGTAACATCACATTTGACACATCCGTGTCACAGTGTTCAGCATCACAGCAACCACAAGTTACCTCTGTACAGCAAACGGATAGACCAGTGCTGTAACACTTAGAAGAATGTTTGACCAAAAACAATTAAAACCAGATTCAAATAGACCATTTAGGAGAAATCTTTGCCTACAGTTTGAACCACTTCCAGCCCTGTCTCCCTACATCCAGTCTGGCCACACCCTTGACGAGTGTCCTGGAACAAATGAGGAGCAATATATTTGGCTATTGCTCACTGTTCAGAGGCTCAGATAAAAATTGAGTGTATTATGCCACCGCTTTCATGTGAGTTGTGCCGAACATCTATTTTAAGTCTTTCTTCCCTTCATGTGGCCTCTGCACGTGCTAATAGGCCTGGATGAATACACAGTAAATCCTCACTTCGACTCCAACTTAATGGATTTGAGAAGCACTACTTGAAAGGATCTAAGCGAGGAAAGGCTGGGTGGGAAGACACAATGAAGAAAAGTTTCTGGCAAAAAGACTCACAACAATCAAATAATTATGAGTAGAAAGTAGAACTGAGGAACACATCTGAGATACTCTAGGCTCAAATCCACCTGTTTCTTTGTTCCTGTTTAATACATCTAAGTGAAAAATGCTGGCCCAGGGGACAGCTTACTTCCTATAAATGCTAAGTGCAATGCCACCAGAATACTGGAAATGTCAATATTAGAGAATATTTCTTCAGGGCTCAGGGCCTTTTCATTTGAAAACAAATACCCTTATTAAAAAGGCAGTTTTCAGGAAGGAGAGGCCATGGGGACAAAAATCCATCACTAGCCATTTTGGTCATATTATCTGAGGACAAGGTCTTAGAAAATGGAGCAAGTAAAGGGTTATGGGTATGAAGGGAGAAGTAAGGAAGAGAAGAATAATTCCTCTGACTCAAGAAGGAAAAGAACTGTACAATGAAACCTTATGTACTTGTCTTATATACCTAGAGCTCATTGGTAAGGGACACAGTAATAGAAGTCTAAGGGATTTGAGCCCTGTAGCCCTAGGAAGAAATGTAGTGAAAAGAAAAAAAAAAGTGGAAGCCTGTTTGATAGTCTGTCATCTTGACGGCAGCCCAGTTGGTCTTGCAGAAATCATGAACTTTCTAAGAGATTAGCTTGATTGAGAAATCCTCATGATAAAAAGCTAAAAATGAAGGTGCTAATACTTTCAACCTTTTTGTGAGCTCTCTGTTTACCTCTTTAGAAAGCACAAAAACTGGTGGAACTAATGAGATGTGGGTTCTGCTTCAAGTGGCCATGATTTCATCAAAATTGAACCTAGGAGTCAATGTCAACTTGGCATCTTTCCATGGCTGGAGTGAAAGTTTACTAGGGAGCAGGTAACATTGATCCAAATAACATAATACTCTTACTGAACACACTTCCAGGTTTGATCAATGCAATTATGTATTTCAGAGGGAGAAAGCAATAGCTCTCCTCTCCCATGATACAGTGTGTGTGCTGCTGCTTCTTTTTTTTTTTTTTTTTTTACTAGTGTATGTTTTTCCTTCTTTTTTTTTTTTAAATAGCAGGCTATCTTTAAGATTAGTAATTGAAGGGCTGGTGGTGAATTGATTATTATCTTCATTTAAGCCCAGAGTTTAAATCAGATCTGAGTTGGCAGCTTGCTTTTAGGGCCCATCTTTATAGCCCTCTAGTCAGTTTTACAGACTTTTCCCTAGTCTCCTTTGTACTTAGAGTATGAGTAATTAACTGGAGGAGTACGTTGGCTAGAAGTTGACACAGTATGAAATAGGTTATCAATCCTCTTTATCAAGAGTTTCCTTTCTTCTTGAGAAGGCATTCTCAGCCTCAAGAAGAAAGAACTTGTGCTACCTTCTTATGCATTTATTTGTGGCATCCTGTATTCATAGACAAATTTCATCCTTTAAAGAGCCCCTTGAGTGTTTGAACAGAACATAATTGGCATGTTAGTTCTTGGGATGGGCACATGACAAGATGTGTCAGTGTGCATGAGGGCATGTGGGTGTGCTATACATGTGCTTGAAAGTTGTCTGCCGAGATAATTCATAGGCAAGCTGAGTATTTACTGGAGAGAGAAATGACAATAATGAAGAAGACGTCTGGTATTTCAATATTTTACCAGTTTGCATAGCAACACTGTCAGTGCTTAAAGAATTGTCAACCGCCTGAATAAAAACTTAAGCATTTTGGCTCACAGTGATTCATCATGAGTAGGAAAACTGCTGGGATAAAGGAGAAAAGACATTTTGAGCTGAGTGTGGAATAGCTCTTCTTGCCCCTTGAAACTGACTGAATATCATATACTTATGAAAACAATCATTACTATAAATGTCCAAATGACAGGTGTATTTTCTCCAGTGGAATACCAAAAAGTCCCTCTAAGTCACTAATAGATCAGGAGGGTCTAAGCCAGGGAGAAAGTCTTAATGTTAAGTAAAGTGGAGGGCCAGCTAAAAAAATAGGAAGACCCTCTGTGAGGTGATGGGCTCAAAGAAAGCAACAATTTACGAGGATGTTTTGTTTCTTTCAACATAGGATTTTTGTTGCTTTAAGTTGGAGCTGATGTGACAGAACCCAATGAAAACAACTGTACATAAATGTCACAGGTAATTTGCTTTAAAGAACAGAACTTAATTTTTTTTTTTTTTTGCTGAGAGTTTGAATTCAGGGCATGGCTCTAGGAAGAGGTCCTTTGTTGTCTATTTAGTTTCTAGAAGTCGCCAGCCATGTTTCTAGATTTTGTAGATGCAGCTGTTCTCACCAGCTGTCCTCCTCGTTCCCCTGTGTTCTTGTCTGACCAATTCTGCTACTTGTTTGACTCCAGTGTGATTAAGTTTAAGACCCTGCCTCCACTGGTAGGAGCTTATCTGCATAAAAAACCAGACTCTAGTTTCAAACAGGATCAAATCCACAATAATTAGGTCCAGGACTCCGTGATGGATTCTGGGGGAACACAAGCCAAGCCATCACACACAGCGGTCCATTTACCTTAGGTGCAACTCCAGCTGTGCATAGAGGAAGTAAACAAATGCTCTCCTTGCCACAATTTCTGCATGGCAGTCATTGACCACCAGTCCTTGGTCATTGATGTACTCGCCATTGATACACTTGGTGCCAGATGACAGAGCGATTACCTGAGCTTGCCTGACATCCAAGCCTGGGGAGAGAGACAAAGAGAAAGGTGGTTAAAACAGCATGAGGGATACACTGTTGAAGGTTCCCCATCACCTTCCTTTCTGTGGGGGCTTACTTTTCCACTTTAGACATAATCGTAATCTTTCTTGCCTTGGTATCACTAGACTCTTTAGGACCCTATTGCATCCAGTCTAGTTGATTCTCTAACAAAAGCACTTCTTAAAGTTTTTTGTCTTTTAAAAGGGGAACTGACATTACAGGCTGAAATAAACTATAGTTTGCTGCCTCCAGGAAGTTTGCTTATGGACTATGGAAGGTGCATTTTGGACGATCTTGTTTCTACTTTGTTTATGATGTGGCTTTTCTCATTCCACTGCCACTCAATTAGACTGAAAGTTCTTATTCAGAAAACTCTACTTACTTTTAAACAAGACAAACATGATCATCCTACAGTTTTCCCTAAATAGTTAGATTAGAGATGTCAGGCTTTTATTTATTGGATGGAAATGTAGATGCATGCTGCAATCTTGAAGTCATGTGTGTCGAATCCACTGGTTACTCTGAGGGAGAAAGATGGACAATCTCCTCCTGTGCAATTAACTGCCTCTGAAAACCCACTGGAGGGTTCACTATGGGTTGTTTCCAACTCAATGGTACACAACAACAACAACAGGAAAACGAAAGTGTAATAGAGACAGGACAGTTGTGAGCTCCAGCAAAGAAATGACATAATGATACCTTGCCAAAGGCCTGGACTGGAAGAGTAAAACTTCAGTGCTACATCTGTGTCTTCAGCAGGGAGCATCTGTGAAGGTTCCAAGGGGCAAGGTGAAATGGGTGCTACCCATGCAAACAGTTAATGTGCTTGGCTCTTAATCAGATGGTTAGAGATTTGAGTCTAAGCAAAAACATCTTGGAAGGTAGACTTTTTAAATCTACTTCAGAACAGTTAGTCATTGAAAACCCTGTGGTGACTAAACTATGAACCTGTGAATCACAGTTCTACTCTGACATGCACGGGATCACTGTTTGTAGAGAGCAACTCGACAGCAACTAGTTCTTCATTACTCCCCCAGACATTTTAATGCTTGCTTTGTCCTCCAATTTGAAAATTATAGTTTAATTAGGACTTTTTTGATGACCTGAGTAGGGTGAAGATATTTAAAAGTGGTTGAAAAATGTTGTGTTTCATCCTCCTGATTGATCTGCATTTGCCACTGGGCCATAATCTGAGATTAAAGGCAAGATATCTATGAAATCTTAAAATAGGGGCTTCGAATCAGTTCGAATCATTTGACCTCCAGCTGAAAATTTGTATTTCCACCAAAGACATCCTGAATTAATCTGTATTTTAGCATGTCCTCTAGCTGGTTCTTTAAAACACCCATCTGTTTTTATACATACATAGAAATTGTTCATATATTGTTATCTTATATGCATAAATTTGGAGTCCTTGTTAAAATGGAGATGCTAATTCCATATATTTGGGTGGAAATGCAAATTCTCAGCACAAGGTAAACTAGATAAGTCCTGCTTGGGACAAATGATCTACTTGTTTCATGTTCCTGCATGTAAACCTTTTCAGATCAAAGAGTACATCATTGCTGCCCCTCACAGCCACCTGGGAGGCCTAGAAATCACAGAATCCATGCCAGCAGCTGAAGCCACATGACCAAGTTCATCCAGAGCTCTGTGATTCTAGACAAGCCTCGACCTGAAGTCATATAAGAAGATCTGGGTAATTTATTCCATAGGGCACTCTCCATACAGCCCAGAGACACTTGCTTTTCCGATTTAGTTGCTTTAACTAAGCTTTGTCCTGAAGCTTGAACAAATCTCTAAATCTGCAGAATTCAAGGTTCAGTGGTTTAAAAGAGTTGGAGGCACAATGTCTCATACAGCAATCTGCACCTGAAGAGCACTTGTAAAAAGCATAACATCGGCATTGAGGGCTGCTGCGGTGCAGCCCTGAAGAGGCGTTAAAGGCGTATTGATCCAATGGCAGGGACGAGCTCCACTTGAGTTACAGCAGAATGCTGTACCAAACACGTCCCTTTTCAGAACGGCATTTTACAGACTGATGCTGGGGGGGCCAGAAGAGTGACTGGGTGGAAACTGGCCCCTCTTCCATTTCTTCTAGTTCAGTGCCAACTCATCAGCCGTAAGTGACCACGCAGCAGGCCAGCCTGGATTCCTGCTTGATGGCTGCAATCAGTTATCACACAGTCTTCTACCACACAGCATCCCCAACGTGAACATTTAGCAGAGAAGTGATTAATGCAGGCAGCCACAGGTGAGAGGCGTCTGTGTCCCGAATCACAAGCAGCAGGCTGTGGGCAGCGTCTCCCCTCCAAACAGAAATGCTTTATGCTAGGCTGGCCCCATGCCTTCCCCTGGACATTGGCTTTGCCCTCGCCTCATTTCTGGGACTGTATTTTAGGTGTTACATGTTTATGGTATGGATTTTCTGCTTCCAGAAAGTCCTATTTACACTGAAAGGCAGGGTGCTATGTTGTTGCAAATCAACAACAATGAAAATGAGCCTAGTTTTCTGGTCGGAAATCACAAAGCCTTTTATTTTCGCCCAAGAGCTTCAGGACAGATGGAAGATAAGTAGCAGGTAATAATGCTTTCCATTATGCAGTACTTTTCATCTTCCTCAAACCCCTCACTAGCTCCCAGGAGGGAATTTAGAATAGAATAGGCCTCTCTGTCGATCCTTATCTTTCCCCTCAGTCCATGACTTTTATCAGGGTTAGATAGCAGCTACTTCTTACTGTTGTTATGTAACATTGAATTGACAGGTACTCACAATGACCCTATGTACATCATAGCGACCCTGTGTATAATAGCTCTGAATCCTGCCCAATTCTGAACCAGTCTGTCTCTGACACACCTACTCCCATGATCTCAGTCACTGTGTCAATCCATCTCACCCAGAGTCTTTTGCTCCTTTGCTGTCCCTCCACCCTTCCAAACATGATATACTTCTCCAAGGACTGGTCCCTCCTGGCAACATGCCCAAAGTATGTGAATGGAGCTTAAAAATCCTTGTCTCCAAGGAGCAAGTTGGTTTCACCATCTCCAGGACAGATCTGTTTGTTTGTTTGACAGTCCATGATATGTTCAATACTCTTCTCCAGCACCACAACTCAAAGATAATCAATTATTCGTCTGACATCCTTAGTGATTGTCCACCATTCTGATGCATAGTAAGTAACTGCAAAGACTATGGCCTGGACCAGGCTTACCTTAGTCTCTAGACTGAAATCATTGCTCTTCAGCACTCTGACTTAGAAAACCTCTGACACAATGTACTTTGTGATTTCATCTTGCTAATTATGAAATTAGGCCTCTATAGTTCCTAGGCATCATGTTTGACTGAGTGAAAGAACCACAGCAGCTCTGTCAGGGGCCGAATTAGGGAAACTTGCCACATGTCTTAAGATATAGTTATTATTTTTTAATGTTCTTGTACACAAGAGACAGGCCACTCTGCAGTTGGGGTCCACCAATGCCTCCTTGGGAGAAAGATGGGCTATCTCCTCCCACGTGATGTATAAACTCTGGAAACATGCTGAAGGGTCCTCTATGAGTTGATTCTGACAAAGACAAGAGCTGTTGAATTATATACATGACAACTGAAGAAAACCCATTCCAATTAACATGTAAAAGGAGTTCTGATAGCAAGGTGTTGGGCTGCTAACCAAAAGATGCTCAGGCGGAGAAAGATCTCCCACTCATAAAGATTTCTAGCCTCAGAAATCCAATGGAGGGTCATTGGGTGGCAGAAGGTTCAGTTTATGTAAAGGTTATCTAAGGCTTGGTGAAGTACTTTTTTTTGTTGGACCATTTGCATTCTTAGAATAATCCAAAGAATTCTTCTAAAACAAAAATGTACATGATCCCTGTAAATGAAACACAAAACGAAACCTTAAAAACAGGTCATAAACATAATGTCTTTACAGTGTTAGTCACTTTTGTTTAAAGAGAACTTATGAGGTCACAGGAGTCCCTAGATGCACACTAAGCTGCTAAATGACATCTGGAGGAATGAACCTACCCAGAGGTGTCTCAAAATTAAAGTTTGAGGGGAAGACAGAGAGAGGGGTGAACAGGTGATAGAGACAACAAAGGTAAACACAATGACACACAGTCTTGTATCTTAAGTAACAACAAACAATACACAAGTATATACATAACCTGACAAACAAGACAAACAGATCGTGAAAAGACTAGACCCATGACTATACATGGTTATGTAAACTCCTTAACTATAACCATCCTGAGGGAAAGAATTATTGGATGGAGGTTCTCAGAACCATAGTCTTATGGGTCATCAAGTTCAACTGGCAGTATTTAGACAACAAAGTGAACGTTTTACCTTCAGTTTTTGTTAAGTAGCACTCAGATCTTACAAGTTTGTGAGTTGCCACTTAAGGTGCAACTGTTGCTCTCTCCCAATCCAAAGCAAAGAGTAAAGAACATTAAAGATTCATGGAAAGAAAAAAACTCCCTTAACCTTTACTACTCTGAGACCAAAAAAATCTAGATGGTGCCCAGCTACTAGAGGTGACCACTCCAAAATGGATCACAAGAGAGGGTCCTGGCACCACAACAAGATAAAGGTAAATAATCTAATAGAAAAATGGGCACAGGACATGAACAGACACTTCACCAAAGAAGACATTCAGATGGCTAATAAGCACATGAAGAAATGTTCAAAATCCCCAGTTCTAAGAGAGATGCAAATTAAAACAATTATGAGATATCATCTCACCCCAGTAAGAATAGCAAACTTTAATTGATGTTCATAATACCGTTATTCACAATAGCAAGAAAATTGAAACAGCCTTGAGAAATTGTGGTACATTCAAACAGTCAAATACTATGCAGCATTTAGGAGCAATGATTTTGAAAAAATACTATAGTAACATGGGAGGGACTAGAGAGCATTATGTTGAGTGAACTAACTCAATCTCATAAGGACAAATATTGCATAAGACCATTAATGCAAAAGTT